ACAACACTGTTATCAATGAGCTCCCTTTCAAGTCACCTGTCACCAAGCCTTGGTCCACGGTCAACAACACTTTCAATCCCAGATCCTCCCAATACTGCCGTTCCATCTCCATTACTGATTCTGGAGACTGTGAGGAGAACTATGTCCCTATGCAGAGCCCAATGTCTTCATCCCCTGTACCCAGTGGCACTAACAGCCCAGCTCCAAAAAAGAGTACTGGTAATGTGAATTACATAGACCCAGACTTCCAGCCGCCCTCCCCAAGCCCTCAACACAAGCCATCCACATCATCGCTCACATCAGATGAGAAAGGAGAATATGTCCAAATAGATGAAGAAAAGAACCAGGCCCTACAAAAGTCCATACAGGAATCGACAAAGATGCGACAGTCCTGAAGGTCCTCCAAAGATGCCAAGCTATGGTAAGGATGGCCATCCCCTGACACCTCTTCTCCTTTGTGAGTTTTGTTCAAAATATGTATGTATTTTCTGCATGTATGGTGTGGCCACACATGTGTGTATGAAGTGTGATCGTAAATGTGTGACTGTTAACAAAAGAATGGTATTGTGTTGTCTTTGAATCATGTAATTGCTGGTGAGGGAAAAACAGTTGTTAAAGTACAGGTTAATTGGGAGGGAAATTTCTACTTTGTTTCCCACAGAAGGTGAAGAGCTGTGGATTCCTTGCAGACTGGTATGGTTTCATGGGGCAGGAACACCTTAAGCAGTGGCCTGGGTGATCTGAATATTTGTTTTCATTTATATTTGGTTGGTTAGAAATGGTAGTGCTCACAGTCAATCACTTTTTAAGTGAAAAAGGAGGAATATGACATAGAAATGATACTTTGTGTAGGAATGGATCCTCATTTGTTGATACTTTGTATTGGAATGGATCTTCATTTGTTGCTATTAGTTAAGGTTTCTAGATATATAGATATTCTTCAAACCATTCAAAGACCTACGGAATATATGGCATTTAAATGGTTTAGGGTTTTTACTGACAGTGAGACACAACTGCTCCTGGCACAGCAGTTACATCTGAGAGAAAGATGAGCATCGAAGAAATAAAGCTTGCCTTTGATGTGGCAAAGTAGCCATTTGGGCAAGAAGTTGCTCCTGCCTGAATTGTTTGACTGTTGCTTTATATATAAATTGTTCCAGCTTCTTGGAAGAGTCTGCCAGATATTCTACAGGACACAGAAAAAAGGTGACTGACAAACTGTCAATGCAGGTGGAGAGTTATAATTTTCTGCTTTGCTGAGAAGTCTGACAGACACATTGTGGTCTGTAGGCTAAAAATGGATGTCCCAGCTTTACCAAGAACCTTTGGCTGACTGTCTAGGAAGCAAGATGTGTCTGTCAGTTCTAGAGTTTATATATTATCTTTCTATGGTCTTTGATGGAGGTGAAGTTAGCTAGTAATAGATAGAATGCTTGAAATCTTATAGTTCTTCCTTGATGACTGTTTTGTTATATATATATAGAAGGGGAATGTTGAGACGCATATGCCACAGTGTCCCTAAGAGCTGTTTTCCAGCATAACCACAGGTACCTCCTGTTTATCTGACCTCACCCTACTGGCATCAATATCCTGTTGTAACCCTTTCACCTGGGGTGTTTGTAAGTTTGTATATAAGGCTGCTCCACAATACATGTGAGAGTCATTCTCTCAGAAAGTGGACCACACATCTTGTCATTCATCCAAATCTCCAGGCTTTTGCCTGATACTGGGACTTAGTGGTGGCCAAGGGCAGCCACAGAGCAGCATGCACAAACAGACTCAGCCATCTGCTGGCATAGACGATGGTTCCACAGCAAGGGTTATTACTGGTATCCTAACATGTCACAGATTTGCAGGTTATAAATAAACCCCGGAACCAGAGTCCTCTGGCAATACATCATGCCTAAAAACTAATCAAAATGCCTTTCTTTAGCCAATATGACTCCCAGAAAGAAATAAATATGTATTTGCTCATGTAAAGTCATTTTAAATGAAAAGGGAAATTATTTTATATTATATTTTATATGCTTAACAGTCCTCTCTCTTCCCATGTGTATATAAGGAAATGCTCATACATATGATTAAATCAAGGCCAAATTTTTTTCAAAGAAACTATTTCAGAACAGAAAGTACATGTATGTATGTGTACATCGACATATATATGTAATGCAAATTTGACTTTTAATTAATTTCAAGAGGTAGCTTTAAATATGGAAAGCACCTAACAGATAACTCATTCATCCAGGTTCTTTATTTCACAGAAAAACAAACAAACAACATAAAACACAATGACTTACTCCAGAAGATGAGTACTCCTATCAGGCCCGTGTGTACAATAATGGTATGTGCACACACATAAAATGCACAATAAGGCTCTTCTTCAGTCCAGTCACACAGGTACATTCTTCTCCCTTTGAGTCCAGGCCAGCACCTCCTCTCCCCAGGTTCCTGCAAGGCTCCTGCACAGCTCTGACCAGCGATGTTATTTTCCAGAGGTTTGTGTGATTGCAGGAGGGGTACCCTGAAATCTGACTCACTCTCACTCACCACTGCGCCTTTAGCAACAGGCAGTAGTCATTTAACTGTGTGGAGCAGATATTTAACTGAGCATTGAATGTATGATAATCACTGTTATGAACAATGGAAAAAAATTCATACTTCATTAATGTCATTTTCCAATCATTTTGGAAATGTGGGTGACATCCTGTGTTGTCTGTAGGGTATAGCCTAGTACCAATAGCTGAATAGAGACTCCACATTCCCTCTGTGTGGGTGTCTCTTTCTCTCTTTAGTTCCGTGTTTTAAGCAGGGTCTTTAGAATTGCTGAGATCATGTTTGGCTCACTGAGTTACACCCAGCCCTAAACATAACTAACAGTTATTCTGTATCTGATGGTAAAGGCTTCAAACTTTGCCTGTGGAAGTGTGTCCTGTCCTTCAAGGCACAGCCATGTTGGGCATTGAGGATTTCCTGACACACACATCATCACCTGGTGTCTGGAGCACTGAAGTTCATTGGAGCTTTACCACAAGACAGTAGACCAAGGGGCATGAATAATTTGTATAGAAAGTGAGCATCCCATTATTATCATGATTTAAAATAACTGCTTTCCCCGGCAATAACAATCATTTAAAAACAATAAAGCCTTCATGAGTTTCTGGAATATATAAGCAGAATGACAAATGCTGTCCACACAGCAGCTGGTAGGGAGCAGCACCAACAACCTTAGAGGTGAGGAACACAGCTGTGGGCAGAGGACTGGCAAAGACTGGTGTCACCCCAGAGGCATGGGAAGCAAAGCAGAGAGCCTTCTTCTCATCTCAGCCATTACCCCGGCTTTTGCTTTATTTCAGCTTCTGAGTGTCTCTTGCATTTCTTGGCTTGTTGACCCACCCTCAAGTTTCAAACTCAACAGCCTAGCTCCTTTCTATCTTGCTTCTTTCATCTCTGCTTCTGTTATGTGCATGG